CCAAAAAGGGGGATGTAAGCATTCTTCTGTCCTCATTCTCTCTTGGTATTTCCCTTCCCGGATCAGGAATACCTGCATTTTTGTGATATTATATGAGAGAAAACTCAAATGAGTGAACCTCCTGACTGCTACTCAACAACTGCAAAATGCTAACTGAAGCAATATGTTAAGCCAGCGAAATGTGTTTTCAATTCCTAGGAATTTCAGGCCAAAAAGACAAAAGTTCCCATAAACTTTTTATTTTTTAGATGGTTGACATCAAATTCTAAGAATATTCAAACCAGATAGAATTAAACAAAGATTAATGAACAAGGAGAACTCATTTCAGAGGAACCAAGGTCTCTGAATTCAATTGCTGGCCCAGCAGGAATGTAAAAATGCAACCTTTTCAGTATAACAGGGTATAGTCCCTTCAGTTGCAGAGAATTGAGAAACGAGTAAAGGAAACACTTTTTGACCCATAGCTATTTTGTTGTTTAATTCTGAGAGTACAATTTTATTGCTCAATACCAAATAAATGTTTAAAGTCAGTAAAAAAAATCTATTTATATAAATAAATAAAAAATTAAAGGACACGACCGCCTAGGCCGATTTTTCGAACACTGCCCAGGAAAGCATTTGTTCAGCTGAGTTCTATGATTATCACAGTGAACATACAAACTTCTAAAACATTTCTGATTCAGAAAAACCAAATGCAATGGTAAGACAGAGAAAACTGATCGACCCAGAAAAGTAAAAAACAAAAGAACACAACCCAATATGAAAAACTCACAGGAACTGAATTGAGGACGGTCAGAAAGAGCTTGATCAACTTGTCCAGCGAACTTATCATCATTATCAGCATCACCACCCTATAAAGGAGGGGACGTGGGGTTAGAAGGAAAGTGAATCGGATCCAACGGCCAAAAAGCATCAAACTCCATGAGCGCAGCTTCTCTGTCGTCCACTGTGTTCTTTGACTTTGGCGGAATGGCTTGAGTTTGGCTTTCCTCTTCTGACTCGACCATTTTCTGGGAAAGCAGTGATTTTTCTTTCGTTTTCCGGGAAAGTTGTCTCTCCAGGAAGAACGATTTTGAGAGGAAGAGGAGGACTCAGTAATGGTAATAACCTGCAGGGTCGGTGTGATTCCATGGAATCCATTAGTTGTTTTTTAAGTGTTTTTACAACTTGCAGTTGAGACCAGAGAGTGAGTATAGTGGATAAAGTATTCAGGGGGATAATCATCTGTTGCAATCAACTGCCAAATAAGTCTACTACAACTTGGAACTTGTTTGTTCTCTTCTTTTATTCTTTATTTTTACTGCTTACTTAGGTGCGATGGGCAGTAATATGGCGTGACATGTGTGGAATTATGAATTCATTAGAGTAGTCTGGCTATAGTTTAGACGTCCATTATTTATTAAAAATTAATTGCTAATATATCATTTATAATGTGTCGATATTATCATTTATAATGTGTCGATAATATATCATTCTATGAGAGAATCTTTCTTGCAATCTAGGATATATTGCTTTGTGTTTAAAGCAATTGTCACATAACATGGTCACATGATATGGGTTGTGGACAAAGAAATATACTCCTTGTGAGAGCATCCACAATGGGCTCCGTAAACCACCTCCTTAACTAAAATTTAGGGAGGAATTGAAAAAACACACCTCCAATCATGCTCCTATTCAGCTCCTAAAATAGGGAGACCTTTAGGAGCTTATAAATCTGAGGAGAGATAAAGGATTCCTAGTAACTCCCTATAATTAAATGCTTCTTTATTTAATATTATTTTAAGCATTTATTTAAAGCCAACTATTTTTTATTGTTGCTTTTGTGTCTACACTTTATTCAAAATTTGAATTAAAAAACATTAAAAAAAATTATGACTCTTTAAACTAGGGAGTATGGTTGGAGTTGAAATTTTATAGAGAGCTCCTAAAATAGCTTTCTAGTGTTTTTTAGCTACATTTTAACTAAAAATTAGAGAGCATGATTGTGCATGCTCTGAGACATCAAATTCTCTCATAAACCTATATTGTAACACACGTATAATTTTAGAGTTTATAACACAAGAGTAGTAATGAGTATGCATGCATTTCTTTAATTTTACAAATATTATAATTTAAGTGATCTTATAGCGACATATAACATATGCCACATGATATTACAGTAACACATAATAATATGCAAGAGAAGAAAATGGAAAGCAAAAAGTAAGTGCGGATAGCCTATGAGGCAATTTGAAAATGGTAGAGTTTGTATAGGAAAAATACACCATTCAAATTTTCTTATCACCTTCTAGAATCAAATTGAAAGATTATGACGTTTTATAAATTACTCTTAGTATTACTCAATGAGTAAAGCCACAACTGTAGAGTTTGTATAGGAAAAATACACTTTCATTTACTCCCACATTGGAAGGGAGTTGTTTCCTTTCATGGTTTATAACCACCAACACTTCAGAAATACTAAATAGGGTATGGGCCTAGTGGAGACAAAGTTGAGCCTCATCTTGGTTTGGACTTGGATATATATTTGGGTAATAAATAAAAGTATATAATTGTCAAAAGATGGGCATTGGGCCTTTTGGTCCATGTTGATTTAATTAATATTTCTTTTTAGTAACTATTGGATGAAGAGGTATCAGACCTATCAAACTGTGGACAAACTCCTATCGAACTACAAGCACAAGGGTAGAGGAGAAATATTGTCTAAAGGACACTGCAACTTTGCAGGACTCTATCATCTATCCAAGTCAGTACTGTGTAATTTATTCATTCCATTGTTGTATTGATTTGATTATATATATAAAATATATTTCGTCTTGTTTTATTATGTTATTTGGTTATATTCTGATTGTTTGTCATTAACAACAATCCTTTAAACTAGTCTATTATTTTTGTGAAACGATCTTATTTTTCTTCATATAGAACCAACTTAATCTCATGAAAAGCCGAATGATGTAAGAATCGAGTTATCTTTGAAGTCAGAATTTTTTTTTTTTAGGATATAGCCGGGCGGCTATACTATTTTGACACGTGACAATAGGCGGGTCCTGTTTTTGTTTATAAAAACTAGTATAGCCGTTCGGCTATATACGGGTATTTCCATTTTAAAAAATAGTACAGCCGTGCGGCTATACTCGGTTTTTTTATTTTTCCATTTAAACTAAACTATTTAAAGCGTATAGCCGCACGGCTATACGGTTAAAATTTCTATTTATAGTTAACTTCATAAATTACATTACTTGATAAATAGTAATTAATTTTTAAAATTTTTTTTCTTTACTAAAATATTTAGGGTTAATTTCAGTTTGGTACCGTGAAGTTGTACTCTTAAGGCATTTTTGTCCCCATGTTTTCAATTTTAACAATGATGTACCTCCACATTTAAAATTTGTTGCAATGTGGTTCTACCGTTAGAAGATCCGTTAAGTGATGACGTGTAATTTATTCGGTCCCATTTTTTTGCTTATGTGTAATAAAATATTAATTAAAAAATTAAAAATAAAATCTCTCCTCAACCCTCTTGATTTAATTAATATTTCTTTTTAGTAACTGTTGGATGAAGAGGTATCAGACCTCTATATATTAACTGTGGGCAAACTCCTCTACAAGCACTAGGGTAGAGGAGAAATATTATCTAAAGGACACTGCAACTCTGCACGACTCTATAATCTATCCAAGTCAGTACTCTGTAATTTATTCATTCCATTGTTGTATTGATTCGATTATATATATAAAATATATTTCATCTAGTTTTATTATGTTATTTGGTTATATTATGATTGTTTGTCATCAACAACAATCCTTTAAACTAGTCTATTATTTTTATGAAACAATCTTATTTTTCTTCATATAGAACCAACTTCATCTCATGAAAGGGCGAATGATGTAAGAATCGAGTTATCTTTGAAGTCAGGAAATTTAAAAAAGAAACAAAAACAAAAAAATGGTATAGCCGAGCGGCAGTACTAGTTTTATTTGTATTTCTCCGTACAGCCAAGGCCATACCCTTTAAATAATGTATTTAAATAGTATAGCCGGGCGGCTATACTACTTTGACATGTGAGCACCTAGGCGATAGGCGGGTTCTCTTTTTGTTTTTAAAAAAAATAGTATAGCCGTCCGGCTATACCCGGGTTTTGCTATTTAAAAAAAGGTACAGCTATACCCGGGTTTATAAGGAAAAAATTATTTAAGGGATCCGTCAATATATATATATATATATATATATATATATTGACGGATCCCTTAAATAATTTTTTCCTTATAAACCCGGGTATAGCTGTACCTTTTTTTAAATAGCAAAACCCGGGTATAGCCGAACGGCTATACTATTTTTTTTAAAAACAAAAAGAGAACCCGCCTATCGCCTAGGTGCTCACATGTCAAAATAGTATAGCCGCCCGGCTATACTCTTTAAATACATTATTTAAAGGGTATAGCCTCGGCTGTACGGAGAAATACAAATAAAACTAGTACTGCCGCTCGGCTATAACATATTAAAAACCCTTTTATGAGTTTGAATAGAAGACAAGTGCTTGAGTGTTTCGCATAAAAAATGTAAGCTGATGAGGTTGTAAACTAGTCCAACTCTACTTAACAAACTATAAAAACCCCTACGAGAGCAACATGTAGAAGCACAATTGACAGGGAGAGAGAGAATAATATCATTGATCAATATGAGGATTTCAATCTCCATTGTGTTGCTTTTTCTGAGCTCAGCATTGTTATTCAATGTAGGGTTTGGGAGGCATAACCCTCCCTATGTCACCCAATTCCTTATTGATCGTGCTGCACATGCACATCCAAAGGTAGTCTCACATGCGCCACATCCAAAGGCAGTCTCACGACTTTGGTTCTACTTTGGGCAGCCTTTGACGCCACCGCCACCACCCTTACCGGCTGCCACAAAACAGCCGCCGCCACCACAAGTTCCGGCACCGGCAACATGGAAGCCACCAACTCAAGAAGATTATGAAAAATGTTGGTCATCACTAACTGACATAGACAGATTAGTGGGAGACCTCATATCTGCACTTTTAACTGGCGATTATAGTCGCATTGGACCAGATTATTGCGCTGCCATCGATGGAATTGATCAGAATTGTTTTGGCGTGATGTTAGACCAGTTCAACAATAGATATTATGTTCCTGCCGTTAGACAAAGTTGCGCTGATCAACGCTCTCCACCCAAGGCGCCTTCCAAAGCTTAATTAGTTATTTGAATGAGTAGATCGTATAGATCATCTAGCTAGGTTTTTTTAATAGTTCTTTTATGTTTTAGGTAGGTTTTAAGGTTTTGTTCCAGGTGGATTTTTGTTTTTGTTTGCTTGATTTAGTCACATGTTTACCGCTTGCTCAATTTGCAATGACAAAATACTTATCTGGTGGTTAGTTATAACCTTTTTTTTTCTTCGGGGTGTATAGTTTTTTAGTTTTTGTTTTTTGAGTAGAAGCGATTGGGAAAAGAGAGTATGAGCTATAAAACTATTCATTGAGTGCCTAGGGTTTCGAACCTCTATCCATATGGTTTCGAACGACTGAGCTATAAACGTATAACAGAAACAAAATAAATAATTCATAATTCAAACGAGTTCTTATTCGCCCAGGCCAATGAGTTGAAGATGCCATAAGAAAAATAAATTCCCAATAGATATAGAAAAAAATTATCAAAAGAATGTATGTTATATTCATATTTTCCCACTATAACAAAAGAAAACACAGTATTTAAGGTCGTTCGATCCCTCCATATGCGAGGTATGAAAGTATTAACACCAAAACCCTAACACCCTAGTAACCAGTTCTTTGACAAACTCTCTGGTACTAGCCAATTCAAATTAGGAGTTGAACAGAGAGAGGCAAAGAAATAAGAAGCTGAATTTCCATTCATTCATGATGTGGAGATAGAAATAACTGTAACACTATCTATATACAAATCAACATGCAAGTTATACAAGTTTGTGTCGCAAAATTAAACCACCAATTAGATGTTCAAATCATTTAAACCAGAAACCTAATATGTAAAATTCATTAGCATCGCAATTCCTACGAGGTCATGAACAAGAACCAATACATGTGTTAGGCCAAAAAAGAGACATTAACAAAGACCTGCAGCAGCTTCCTGGAGCACAAAAGCAACCTGGGCCTAGAAAAATAAGATTGAAATTCCCATTGTAAAGCATCCAGCAGCAACCCAAGGACTCAAGCGTTCACCTGTTCCAAGTGGCAACAAAGTCATCCACCACACCCATGAACTAGGTAATTCCAACTACTCTAGCAGCAACATGATAGATAATAAGTCAAAAGAAAATCGTAGTAACCTACCTATTCTTGCTGCCTTCCAAAAAAATCCCCGGAACCTGCCAGCACCAGACATGGAATCAGAACATTGACCCAAAAAAAAGGCATGGAATCAGATCAGAGCTAGAACTTGAATTTTGACATATCATACAAAGGCATGGAAGCATGAAGGAAAGTATGACACAAACATCACCGAACGGAAGAAAATAATCAGTAAATCAAGTAGAAGAAAAGCAAGTATCCTACGGAGAGAACTCTTATAGCGTAAGCAGGACGACAGAATGCATAAAGAATACTACACTGCACGTGAAAATCAGAGTCCAAATAGCAATCATCTAGTATGTGTGTGTGTGGGCGTGTGAACAACCATTGCCTTTCAAACAAGCCAGGAAGAAGACATATCCAGTTGGAAAAATTGCTACCCTTTTGTGTTTAAGCAATCTTTACTGCGAAGCAATGCTTAAACCAAGCAGAAGGGCTGAATTACAGATTTCAATGAAGTATTTTAGCCTCACCTAACAATGTGCGTAGGCAGTGATCATATATTGCAAACTTACAAGTTACAATTAGGGTAATAGTTTCCAAGCCTGGACATTGTTATATAGGTTTTGCAAACAACATCATTCAGGACTTTTATCAAACATATTCCGATCAAAGCAGTACCCATTCACATAAACAAAAGCACTTATTGTAAAGTTCAATGCAATTAATGGAAAACAAATATTAACAAACAACCCATTAAAGTAAGTAATTGTAATTAGAGAAGACATGGAACTGTGACTGACCCAGTTTTCTGCTCGAGGACGGCCGGGAACTGCATCTTCAAGAACGTGCACGTGCAAATCACGAGCAGCACCACCGTCAAAAACGAATTGAAATTGAAAAGCGCCGACTGCATCCAAAGAAGTGCAAATCAAAACCCTAATTTTTAATATAAACACCCAATTTCGATCAAATTTGAAATAAGTCAATAACAAAATTCACTGATTCTGACCATGTTCGAAGTCTGGGTCTTTGAATTCGTACAGATCCACGAGAAAGATTGGGAGATCTGAGCAAAAAAACTGAAGATTCGAACAGAGCTTTGCGCTTGCAAAATATACAAGCTGAAAGCAGTGCTTTTTAAACGACACGTCGTTTGTATGGCGGTCGAATAAGCCAGCGTGGCGGTTATTAAAATTACTGAAAGACTCATGAATTTGGTTAAAATTACGAAGTTGAGCACCGCCAATTCGAAAATTTTCGAGGGTAGCCCCCCGCCATAAGAAACCAAATGCTCTTTTGGTGAAGATTTCGATCATTTTCTGGAATCTTCGTCGCCCTCCTCCTCAGAGACTGAGAGTGAGTGAGAAGACGGCAATGACGGAAGTGAAGCGGTGGAGCGTCACCTACACCAAGCACATGAAGCAGAAGCGCAAGGTTTACCAGGACGGTTTCTTAGAGCTCAACACCTCCACTAATAAGGTATTTAATTCACAAATTTTCAAATAAATCCCAAAATTACTTCAATTTTTTCTTTCAATTCATAGTTTTGTGCTTAAATTTTTTATTCTAATGCACAGGTGTTGCTGTACGACGATTGTGAGAAGCTCTTGGAGTGCAGGCTCTTGAAGAAAGACGAAGAAGTTAGCTCAGGCGAAACACTCACATTCAATGCTTTTCTTGTTGACGTGAACGAAGCTGATTCAGCCGAAGGAGATCGCAAACCTGTACCTGGTTTCAATTCTCAAGCAAAAGATATGAAATTCAATGAGAAACGCGCAAAGCCGTTTGTGAATACAAGTTCAGTTTCTACTGTTATTATCTCAATAAATTTTGTTCAATTCCATAGCATTGTATATTTTTTGCTTCCTTGCTTTTGAGATCACCAATTTTGAGATTCTTACAGGGAATAAGCCGCAGCCAAATTCGAGCCCGTCGCAAAAGATAATTAGAGGTTAGTCTGCCTCCCATTATAATCTCCTTTCACATGTGAAAATTTTTAATTTATTTTATTTTTATGTTTCACATTTCAGAGTTCAAGAATAGGGAACAGCACAAGTATGGTGCAGCACAAAGTAGTCCAGAAACGATGAAAACTAGCAAGACAGGTTTGTTAGTTATCAGTAGCTCTATTTATGTAAAAGCAATTTTAACTCTAAAATGTTGAAGCATAGCAGAATTTTATGATTTCTGTACTGCAATATATTACAAGTCCCTTTAATTGGGAGTTGTTGCTTCACATTTGGCATGTGTTAGTTTCATTATAGTATCATGGTTTCTCTGGGACTCACTGTGTTCTGTTCTTTATATTCCCCACTTCCTTCCTTTTATAATTGTTTTCACGGTCTACCATTTACAATCCAGAATGGCAGGTTCTATACACCACACAACTAACTCAAAAGGCCAAGAAGTATCATGATGGTTTCTTACAACTTGCAATTTCTGGGTCTTATGGAAAGCAGGTTGACTTATCCTACTACCCATCTGTTCTTATTTGCAATCTCAAGTTTTCCTATAAATCCTTAGGCCACTCCTCACTTATGGAAGTACAAATCCTTTGTCGAGTCGTGTGTGTAATTGCACACAAATTTACCTAAGGGAAAATTGACTCTCAGGCTTTACCTTTTCTCTCTCTGTACAGATAATACTGTTGGATGAAAGCAGGAATCACTTAGATAGCAGGTTCCTTAAGAAAGATGAAGTCCTAGCATCCGGTGAATCAATAGGATTTAGTGCTCATTTAGTTGAAATTGGAGAATGTGAAGGAGATAATAAACCCGGGAAAAGCACAAAGTAGTCCTGAAACGATGAAAACTAGCAAGATAGGTTTGTTAGTTATCAGTAGCTCTATTTATGTAAAAGCAATTTTAACTCTAAAATGTTGAAGCATAGCAGAATTTTGTGATTTCTGTACTGCAATATATTACAAGTCCCTTTAATTGGGAGTTGTTGCTTCACATTTGGCATGTGTTAGTTTCATTATAGTATCATGGTTTCTCTGGGACTCACTGTGTTCTGTTCTTTATATTCCCCACTTCCTTCCTTTTATAATTGTTTTCACGGTCTACCATTTACAATCCAGAATGGCAGGTTCTATACACCACACAACTAACTCAAAAGGCCAAGAAGTATCATGATGGTTTCTTACAACTTGCAATTTCTGGGTCTTATGGAAAGCAGGTTGACTTATCCTACTACCCATCTGTTCTTATTTGCAATCTCAAGTTTTCCTATAAATCCTTAGGCCACTCCTCACTTATGGAAGTACAAATCCTTTGTCGAGTCGTGTGTGTAATTGCACACAAATTTACCTAAGGGAAAATTGACTCTCAGTACCTTTTCTCTCTCTGTACAGATAATACTGTTGGATGAAAGCAGGAATCACTTAGATAGCAGGTTCCTTAAGAAAGATGAAGTCCTAGCATCCGGTGAATCAATAGGATTTAGTGCTCATTTAGTTGAAATTGGAGAATGTGAAGGAGATAATAAACCCGGGAAAAATTTGCATTTCAAAGAAAATAAACGTAATGTTGTTAGAGAGGCAGGAGTAAAGCATGAACAAAGTAATGGTGTTATCACTGATAAAGGTGCTGAGAAAGGTTCGTAAGGGAATGGTATTTTCTTGTTCCAGATTTAATTTTTGTATCTCTGATTGCAACTGTTTACATATTTTCTTCATTTATCTTATCTGTCCCCCCGCCCCCAATGATCGGGTCCAAGGTTGACAACTTTTTTCCTTTCTCTAACTTAGAATGGAAGGTCCTGTACACTACACAATTAACCCAAAAGGCCAAGAAGTACCATGATGGTTTCTTAAAACTAGCAATGTGTGGCTCCCAAAGGAGGCAGGTAATATATTAAGAAACTTTAGATGTTTTCACAGTGTTATCATCTTGTTCCCACACCTAACAATGTATGATCTAACTGATTGTAAAAGTTGTTCTTTTTTCCCTTCTTATTGTTGGTTTCACTTTCTACGAAATTTGATGATTACTGTTCCATCTTTTGTTCTGCACAGGCCCTGCTGTTTGATGCGACTAGGAAACTCATAGATAGCAAGTTCCTCAAAAAAGATGAAGATATAAGAACTGGTGAATCATTTACATTTGATGCTCATTTGGTTGACATTGGAGAACCTGAAGGAAACCATGAAGCTTCGGTAGATTTGAAATTTCGAGGAAAAGACGATTGCTATGTCCAGGAAACAAGGAAATTAGGTGGTGGAGATGATTGTGTTATAGTCAATAATTTTGAAGTAAAAGGTTAGTGTGACATATATTCGCTTTTGTTTGGCTTTTGTTTTTGTTGTTGTTTACATTTTCATGGTTTTTATGCAATGGATCCTTCTATCTATTTCTATAAATGATGTACAGGTTTCCACCTTTCATGTAATCCCTTATTTTAAATCTTAAATGTAATGGAATAAATCTTAAATGTTGTTTTATTCTTAATAACCAAAAGCAGAGTCTTCAAGGAAAAGGCAACGGTTTTGATGTTCTTCATAGTTTGAATCAGTGTTCACCTTTAAATTTGGAAATTAAGTTAACAAGTTGAGATCATATAGTTGAAGGGATCAAATTTACATTATTTTGATGTTCTTCATAGTTTGAATCAGTGTTCACCTTTAAATTTGGAAATTAAGAATTAACAAGTTGAGATCATATAGTTGAAGGGATCAAATTTACATTATTCTGGGACCATTTGGATACGTTTTACAGAATTGGAGGATGGAAATTGCATGATATACACTTTGCACATAAACACTACCCTTAGTTCTGTCTGTGAGAGTTATCCTTCTAAGATTCCTATTGCACTTATATTCTCTAAAATGCAGAGTGGCATGCTCTTTACACCACTCAGATTACTCAAAAGGCCAAGAAGTACCATGGTGGCATTCTCAGACTTGACTTTTCTGGTTCTTACCGTAAGAAGGTTGTTTACATTTATCTCGAGCTCCCTGTAATTGGTGTTGCTTTCCTATCTATGAGCTATTTCTACTGTACATGATGTGTCACATGATGCCCATCTATGCCTTGCATGAAATCCTATAAGCCTTTAGAGCTGCATCACTTTTGTGGGATACTGAATTCAAAACTAGCTTCTGACATTTTGAGTCATTGTATGTATGTCAGGTTAGTTTACTTAGTGAAGATAAAACCATGCTGAGCAGTAAGTATATCAGTTTGTCAGAAGATATAAGAACAGGATGTATGTTTGAGCTGCCAAAATATTTGGTGGAGGTTGGTAGACTATATACAAGTTCTGGAGGTATGGTTCTGTTATAATATGCTAACTTAGACATTGATGCTTGCTGAGGTCTTGACTATGTCTGCGGCATTTTTGGCCTGAAGGTGAAGGAAAACCTCACAACAAAGATTATTTCAGGAAAGCTTCAGAGTCAAATCTTAGCATCTCTAGTGTAGAGGAAACTAAATCAAGCAGGGCAGTCCATACAAACAAGCCTTTACGTGATGGTGAGTCTAGGATTACTTGGTGAATCAATTAGAATAATTTATTGAATTTGAAGTATTTTCTTCTCCTTTTGTAATTTATTGTTTGTTGTATTTATTTTCTGCTTTTCATTTTTTGGCGCCTGAGGTAGGCGTGCCACGTGGGAGCTTTGATCTGTCTATCTTGAGTAATTTCCTTTACATCTTACTGCATTGCTGATTCTTTATCTGTTTCCATATCTGCAGCCAATCAGATTTTGTCCATTCTCCAAAGACCTATGGCTCAGGAGAGGATAGTTTCAGGCCATGCTAATAACAGCACAGCAAGACCAATTGCCTCCACTAAGGAGTCTCAAGTTTCAGATGCTATAATAGTGAATTTCTCTGAAGATGGTCGACCATCACAACCACATAGATCAGTTGAAAGAATAGAGCAAAGTGAAAATATGGACACTGGAAACCCCCCTGATCCTATGTCTTTCAAAGGCAAGTTTTATCAGAACTGTTTAAACTTGCATCACCTTTTACTGTTATATTTTCTGAAATTAATTATGTGGCAATTCAATATGAATTGGAATATGCAGCAATATCCAGTGGTAGTGGCAGTCAAGTAGCTGATGGAATCGACATGAGAAACTCCGACCAGGTCTAGACTGTTCCCCACACCACAGTATCTATTGCCAAATTTCCTTTTTCTGCTTGTACTATTCAAATTTGGGTTGTCTGCCTCTTTCATATTGAGATCCTTGTTAGCCAACAAATTAAAGGGGAAATAATTAAAATTATTGTATTGCATAAACAACCAGTGTAAATCCTGCATAAACGAAGAAGTTTGGGATATAGTTAGTTGAACCCAATCCATGGAGGACTTATATCATTCAAGTATATGTGGAATCCCACTATGGCACACGATCTTCATTCAATGTTTGAAATTTATGCAGACAATACATGGTTGATAGCTCTCTTTTATCTATTTCTTTTATTGCTTTTACCATGGATTTCACTCCTATAGCACCCATCGTTGAACTTTGTAGTTTTGACATGATATATCGTGTTTGCAATTGTCTCAAGCAGTTTTGTCCAGGACATGTGAAAGCTGACACCAGACAGCATGACACAGCATATACTTCCGACAAATCGAATTTGAGTTCTTGTGTTTCTCATGATGCTGCGGATGAGAAAAGGAGTAGTTCTGAGGAGCCTACTTGTGAGCAAATCGAAGAATGCCCTAGTTTTGATCTTGGATTTTAAACAACACCTGGCACTTTGCTTTGTATATGTTGTGTGATAGCTTTTAGTGAGTCCTTGTTTAGTGAGAGTTAGGAATCTAATGTTCTGTATGGCCTGTGCTTCAATGTTGTGGCTTTGATGATTTTATTCACTCTTTTACTCTTAGCAGATGGTCAAAAATGAGAAACAAACGAGACGTAGATGCAACCAAAGAAGTTGAACACTTAAAACTTATGAATGATTTAGAATTTTGGTAGCAAAGAGCAACACAGGCATGAAAGTGTAAACTGAAATTCTGATAGGCTTCGTGATACCTCTTTCTGTTTTGTTCTCTCAATTCTCATCCAAATATTTGTACAATGTGGCATCCTTTCTAGACTTGCGCATGCTAAGCAAGGCCTTAAACAAATGTTTATTTTTGCTTGAGTGCTGATCAGTGTCTTTGGTCCTGTCTCTTTCAGCATGAAGAGACAATGAAATTGATCTCCTGGTTCGGGGCTCCGACATGTACTGAAAATATAATCCAATATATTTTCTAAATCTCAAGTATTTGATTATTCAAAAAACTAGAGCTGAAACTTGCAAGTGCTTACCCGCTGTTTGACAGTAGAAGAAGAGTTCATAGTGCTTGATCTCTTAACAAGAGAGCCACAACGGGGAAGTGGAAACCGATGCGGTGAGACCGTTCTTTTCTCTGATTTTATGGGGAAAAAATTGAGGAAAATTGCATTAAAGATGTTGTATAGCTAACAGAAGCTTAGCAACATATTAAATGGAATAAACATTTTATACAAACCATGTTTGGCTGAAATTCTTGTGAACTGAAATGCTCCAGGTGAAGATTGCGCAGGGTGTGATGCAGAAGGCTCTTTACTGCATCAGAAATAAAGCACACAGGCTTGGTGAAAAAAGTTCAGACTCAGAATAAGTTTGGCCATTATGTTGAAAAAAAAAAGGTGTTCACAGATAACATTTACCTGACAATTGTTGGAGCAATCTCCCTCATTGTTTTTGCTTCAGCAAAATATTCGCATAAACAAATTATTAGATTTTCCCCAGTAATTTAACAATTAAAATGAAAATTACAAAATATTGAAGGATGAAATTGTTTATGATGAAATGAATACCTGTAATCTCATACAAATCCTCTTCAGCACTTTGTCTCAATGCAGACTGGCCAACAGTATCCACGGCTACTCCCACTGAGCACCAAAGTACCAACATAAAACTATATTTTTAATCAAGCAAAAAGTTCAAAGGGTAGGCACCCCAAAAAAAAAAAAAAAAATCAAAGTTTCATGATGAGAACATACTTGCCTGGAAAGATGTATCTCCTGTGGTGCTTGGGAAACTTTAAGGCTAAAGAATTTTGGAAGACACCCCCTTGAGTGACGAAATCTTGGCACGTCCTTAGTCGCTAGAAATTCCGGAAAAAAAAAAAGTTTAGACAGGGTTGAATTAACAGAGGAAAAATGTTCAGCTCCAACCTGTTCAATGCAAGACAACCTAAGCCCAGTTTGTGAGACTTGAGTGACATTTTCATCCAAAAATCCATTGACCTTATAGGCCATTGAACCCAAGTGATCCACAGTATTGACAACTGCTTTGAGGACATAATCCTTCAAGGTCTCCATCACTCTACCAGTGCAAAACATAGAAACAACAATCAGAATTAGCAAATGCCATAATTCATTTTGGTCCTCTGTGCTGTAACTCACAATTGTTTTTGGTCCTCTTTGCTGTAAGACATTTCGAAATATTCGGCTGCTGAGTACAACTGTTTCCTCAGATTCTTCAGTTCCTGAATTAGCAAATGCCATAAAATGAGTTTGGAAAACTTCATGGACAAGACTAACATGGAAGAGAGGTGAAACATACATTCAGATTCTCTGAAAAGCGCACCCTCTGCTGCATGAAGAGTTCATCATCATGGTGGGAAGCTTTTTTTGGGACAGACTGCATTTTGCCACCTGCAGAAAACACAAACTTCTGATATCAGTCACAGAGCTGAAAGCAAAGACATGCTAATCTGAGATCATTTTGAACCAGAGAAACCATGATTCTGTGCTGAAAGCAATACAAATATTTGGCTTACTTGAGTCAGAAAATCAGAAACCAGCACAACAAGACAGTATGGTTACTTTCCTTTTACTATAAATTCCCGGAAAGAAAGCAAACAAGAAATAGCAGATAAAAACTAGTGAGATGGCAAAGAGCACAGTCACCTGGGTGCTCAGGAAAAATCAACTGGCCTTCATTCATGGAATATTTATGTCTTTTGTTGACAAGAAATTGTCAGCATAAGGAATAGAAGATACTGACTTTTCCACTCAGAAAAGTGAGAATGAGAGAATGCTGTTACTGGATTTATTAAGAAAGTGACAACATCAATCAGAACTAAATATCATTTTTTCTATTCTTGAAAGCAAAACATCAAACAGTTGAGTCACTAATCATTTTTGCTACACTGCTTATTATGAGTTCCTTTGCAAAGAGGAAAAAGCCTACCAATAAGTCCATCAAAACAAGCCACTTGTCAGCCATGTGGTGGTTTGATTGTTTTCAAACCTGGGACCCCCAAAGTTGATGGGAGGAAGATGAATCTTTACTTTGATCCCAACTTACATAAGTGATGGTGTTTGCTAGCTTGGCTGCAGAAAAAAATCATTTAATCCAGTGGTTCTATATCTTATGATGTCTTGCCTTAAGAGCCAACTACTTCACCCTCTGATTAATTATGAATGGCAAGTTGGTAACCACTTAATTTAGTTGTTTATTATTACTGCAAGTCTGCAAACTATAGGACCAGAAGCTGAAGCTGAACATAGTTGATCCAATTTTCTTATAAAGTGATGGATCATGGAAAATCAAAGTCAAGAAATTGCATTTATTTTGGTACAAAGAAAGGTTGAATGTAGCAGCAGGGCATCCATGTCAAAACGCTACCGGAAAATGCCAACAAGATATTTTTTAATCGTACGTCAGTGGGGGATTTGACATTAGACATTGGATTTATATGGCATTAAAAATGAGACTGATGGGCACATATAAACCACTATTAATCAACTTGCATTAGCTTTGTCTTTTAGATCATAGGGTCGAGAGTGTTACCGACAATGCTAAAAATGCTATACTAATGAGGAAAAGGTTGTTTACCAAAAAAGAAGGAAAAAGTTTCTTTGTAGCTTTTAAATCAACTATACAATGTTGTTCATCCATATATCACCCGGAAGGGTCGATTGACAATGCATCAACAGGTAAGAGTCACACACTCGATGCATAGATGGCTGGGAAAATGGCCCAAGCACTGCTCTTGAGCTTTCTCTATTTCTCTTTCCATCACATAAACAGAACCATTTCAAGTAATCAAAAGTACCAACCATCTGATTAATGAAAACGCGAAGAACATAAATGCTGAAAAATATTGCCACCAGTGTGGTCAAACTAAAGTACAATAGTAGACAAATTTTTAATCTTCGCACTAAATTGAGAAGAAAATTTTGAAGGTGAAAAGTATGAGCAACAGATGTTAGGTGTCGTGATAACAACACAAACAACCACAATGCGGCAGTATTTTTAAACAATCCGCTCCAACTCTCTCGCATAGCTGAGAGTTTGGTTGATGAGCTGTAGAGAAGGTATCTCCTTGCAAGGCGCAGTCTCCTTTGCCTTCTGGAAATAGACAGCGTCATTCTTTACTTCCCACTCAGGATGATCCTGTATTCAAGGATCAGAGTTAAAAATTTGTAGAACCAACAGAGAAAGTAAATCGTATTTCTAATGCTGGTGTAAGAAAGTTGAGCGTATTCCCCTTGTTCAAATATCCGTATGCTCAATGAGCAGGAGGCTCATCGTATTTTTCACTCAATCGAAATCATTGGAAACTTCTACATGTGCATGGTGCCTTACCCACCCATGATTTTGCAAGGGTATGCATAATCATTTTATGCCAGACAGTAATAAGCATTACATGTGATTGCAAAAACAGAAGATTGATCCCTCTGAAGCAGTACAGTCAACTTGAATAATATATGAAAAAAGGAAAAATACATGTTATAGTGAACGTTACCTCCTCCACATATGCCAAAAGGTCACGGTCAGAAGGGAACAGCAACATCTGACATGCATCCTTAATGGAGAGATAATCATATGCCTTCTCGCTGCATCCAGCTATCTCATCTCTAAAATTGACAGAACAAATCAACCAAAAAGCCCATTAAGGCATACAATTCGTAAATAGATGCAAACATATTATTTAAATAGCTAAGCTACACAATAACAGGAAGACGATGGGCTCTAATCGTTCACATATACCTAGGAGCCACAGATAATAAATTGAACTGCATTGATGCAGAACTCCAAAATTCTAGCCTTTACATTTTCTTTTCGCATGTTTGTATAACTTTTGCAACTATTCAAATATAACCATATAGAAGCAAAACAAAGTACCTGACTGTTTTTGCCAGGAGATCCATAAAATAAACATAAGTCTCATGTGGCACCGTCTGCCTAGCACTCAAAACACGGTTGTAAGCCCCCTCCATGAAAGATTGCTCCAGCTCCACAGCATGCTTAATGCAAGGGTTCTCCAAAGCAGCGGATGAAAGCAGTTCCAGTTCAGTGTGGAACTCAGCAATTCTATTCTGGACAAGGAGTCTTAACAGGTTGAGACCTAAAATTGGGTACTCTTGAGGGGATGGCGGAAGACGGTCACTGCTCCAAAAGAAATGTAAATTCATTAACAATCAAACACTTATTTTTCTTTTAAAAAAGACTGAATAAATATAAAATAAACAAAGTCAAAACTGCATAGGGAGAAAGAGTCAACAGAAGTTCAGCAACATCAAACGTGAGAAAATAAAACTTCATAGGTAGCTTAATGGGGTTGATAAATTACCGAGCATCTGTGTAATAGGACTTCAACTGAAAGAAATCCCTTTCAAATGCATCCTGATCCTCAATCTTCACACTAAGAACAACAGCATGCTCATATATATCCCCTGAAAGTTTTCAAACATGAGAATAAAAAGGTCAGCAAGGCAGTAGTTGGAAGGTGACCACACCAATGAACAATCTTAAACTAGCACACATTTTTGCTACAATGTAATTACGCAGCACAATGAAGTATAAAAGCATATCTCCTTCTTACAACAAGACTTGAAACTATGCTTTACCCCTTCCCTTCCACACCCCAATGCCACTTGAGCAGCTCATGGGAAACTATAAAGCAGTGTTTGTTTTTCCTTGTGTATTTGTCATGCTATTTACACAAAGAATTTGGGAACTAAACCAACAGAAAAGTAAGAAGCAACATGTTTGGGTAAAGAATGCTCTACTTGCTAATGTTAATTCACGAATCGCATTAGGAGTGTCTTCGAACAAGGGCGGTAGGCTTCTGAATTCAGTCAGCTTGACCTGAAAAACAACAACGAATACAACTCAGCCCACATACAACAACAGAATTCCATATGTCTTACAAAACCAACAAATAACTTAAAAATTCCTCCAAACGAGCATTTCACTAACTATCAGCTTAAAAACCGAGACTGGTAGCTCTACAACACGTTACACGAAATCAGGAAATTTTGAAACTTTAATTCACCAAATCCATAATGTAATTAAAAGGTAACTAGCAAAAGAAAGAAGCAAAACGATGCACCCAACACTCTGATTGACCCAAAAACCTAATCACATCGCGGCAATATACAAAGAATCATACTTTAAGTAGACAAACAATAGAATAAGAGTTACTAAATCATGTGCAGGAGCAGCTGACAATCTCAAATTTGGCAGAAAATTAGGGTTTTGGAGATTGGTACGTTACCTTGAGCTGGGAGAGGAAATTGGAGCAGGTATCGAAATCGTTCCGCACAAATGCCGCTTTGAACCGCTCGAAGAGCTGCGCCACCTCTGTCAGCTTCGGATCCATATCTCGTCTTCCTGTGCTTGCTTGCTTGCTTGCCTCCTCTTCTTCGTCTTCTTCCTCTGAGTGGTTTTGCTTTTCGCTTGCCTTGAGCTTTTATCACTCTTTGCTTCCTCTACAAGAAGAAATTGTATTTTATGGGGCTTTCATTCTGGGTTGGGCTTGGTCTTGGGCCTTAAGGCCCATCACTAATATACTAAGTGTCGTAAAATAGAACATAAAGTACGACGAGTCGTTAAGACTCAATTGTCCTACTGCTCCGTCCCCTTATCAATATCCACTCAGCGAGCCACTGACCCAGAAGCTTTCTTCTGCTCAAAACAGAGCTTCAAACAATGGCTTCCACTTCTTCACTCATTTCAACTCTAGTCACTCCTTCGAATTTCCAGTTTTGCCCCAAAGCAATTTCCCAAATTCCATCTCTACCCCAGACCATCTCATTCACTCATTTCAACCGAACCAGACCGGGTATCGGTTCGGGCCTGACCGCCAAAGTCCAGTCACTGGAGTTCTCGGGCTCGTTTTTCGAGGGAGGGTTCCAGTCAGAGGATGATCCGACTTCACCACCCGGGTCGGGTTTAACCGCAGTGGAAGAGAAGGAGGAGCCACCGTGCCCACCGGGGCTCCGACAGTACGAGACTATGGCGGTTCTCAGGCCAGACATGTCGGAGGATGAAAGACTTACTCTTACCCAAAAGTACGAGGAGGTAAACGGATTTTCTATATTTGGGTGAAGTAAAGTTGATTACTTTGGTTCTTAAGATAGGTGGGGTTTATCTATCTGTTTCAATTTTGCTTTGTAATGTGTTTGGTGGCTGAGAAAAAAATGGTGGGAAAGTGAGGAATGTGTTAAATTGAGGTTATTTGAAGACCAATTAACAAAAATGAAATTTTGAATTGAATTGAATGGCTCTACATAATGCATAGTGCATGCCCATAACTATTTAGGCATAGCACAAAGCTAGATTGGCCTTAAGTTGGTGCAATGTAGTTAGTCCTATTGCCAAAGTGAAGCTGCTTAACTAGTCTCTCTTTATGTCCATTGGAAGAGAAACTAGTGTGTAATAAGAGTTGAAGGTTTGTGATGGCAGAGAGTACTTGAATTTTGATGCACTAAATGCTGAAGGAGTTCGGACACTCCATGGATGTTTAACTCTGAAAAGCTTACTTTCCTGTGCGGGATGCTTTTCTTTGTTAGAGCTCTATTTTTCAAGACATTACTTTGCTAATGGAAATTGAATCCTCAAACTGCAGCTGGGCTCATCGGTTGATTTAAATTCCAGACTTAAAGAGTACCTTTTCTTCTGAAACTGTGTTTAGGTACCAGTTGTATTTAGTGAGAAGCTGTCATGTCAGACAGCTCAATTTTTGTGTTAGCAGATATGCCACTTATTGATTTACCCTATACATCCTGTCTTGTTGGAGATATAAGTTTACCCAATACATCCACTTGCTCGATCACATCTTAAAATAGTGGTAAACCAGCACTATCTATCATGATATCAAAGTGGGAGATCCTGAATCTGAATTTGTACACCTTCAACCTCCCAATTTATGTTGATTCTACGTGTTGGAATCTCTAGTGATAGGGGGAGGCAGAGGGCCACACATGAGAGGGAGTAGTGGTAAACTAAAGGCATTTTATCATTGTATCATATTAGTTTGTTGTCTGTTATTGTTTTCCATGCTTGGATGTGCAATAACTACTTCTCCTTTATTATACGATAGAATAAATCTATTGTATGGGATGGGAATCTAGTAGAGTGATGATGATCATGGAGCAATCGATTACAGCGAGAATGGGAAAAACTACACAAGCCTGCTCTTATTAAGACCCTATTTTCTTAATTTTTTAAATGATGTGGCCTTGAACAGTAGGACATTGTTGGGCAAAACTGATTAGATTATGACTGTATTTGGACCAAAAGCTTGGAAAAGCTCAGTGGAAATTGTATCATTCTCACGGGTCACCCAATAATCCCTTAATTGTCAAAAAATGCCAGATTTTTATGTTGTTTGACTTGTCATGCCTTATTTCACCCTCTAGTTTCTATCTACGCTTTTCATGCCATATTTTTAGCCATGAACATCTGGAGAACCAGGATGCGGACTTCCTGCTGGTTTTATCATGACATAATTGAAGTTTCATAGTGCATGGATAGTGTATAAGCTTTTTGACATAAATGTACACATCCGATGGCTCCATGATTTTATTTACTGTTTAAGAAGAACTTATCGGAAATATGATGAGGTTTGGCATATGCAATTTACTTAGAGCAGCCTGATATTCCATGCTGAGGATACAACGCCTTTTGTCTTTTTTACTGATGGCCTGTAATTTGCAGTTGCTTATAGCCGGGGGCGGCATGTATGTGGAGGTCTTCAACAGAGGGGTCATTCCACTAGCCTATGGCATCCAGAAGAAAAACAAAGCTGGGGAGTCTAACACTTACTTGGATGGTATCTACCTACTCTTTACCTACTTCACAAAACCTGAGTCTCTTGAAGTTCTTGAAGCGAATCTGAAAGCTGATGATAATGTCATCCGATCAATGAGCTTCAAAATAAGGAAGAGGAAGTACTAATTTAGTTTTGAATGTACAATGTAATTTCACATGTTTCGAATCTTCCATCCTTTCCTTCTTGTTGAGATTCAGGTCATTCAGTTTGTTTTGTAACATAATTGGATTAATGACCGAAGCAAAAATATGCAGTTGCTAGAATTTACTTGCAATGGTATGACCACACCTTTTAATGACCAACTATAAACATCAAGTTATATGAATATGAAAATGCATTTTCAACATGAACTCATTTGGTGACTCGACTTGGATTGGATTGACTTGGATTGGATTGGATTGTAATGGAATTCAAGCCGGTCTTTATGTCGACTCACCAAACATTGTCATGAATGCCAAAACAAGAAAGCATTATCAACACGCTGAATCGCCGCTTTCTTTGTACATTAGAACTTCTGCAATCATACAAATCATACAAATCTAACACTAAAATCATAAAAAAGTTGAATGAGATGCTGAAATCATAAAAATCTAACACTAGAACTTCTGCAATCAATAGAATATATGTATGAGTGATGTCCTAGGTTCATCTCATTGCTCGAAAGGTCTTTTCTTTTCAAGACAGCAGACTGCACGATCGCAAAGGTGGGAGTTTGCTTTTTGACAAAAATTGAACAAAATTCATATTTAATTGTCTTATTTTATGTTTTTCTATAGTTTTGGCTATAATCCCCTCCTTGGATTAGCACTAATTAACACATCATGCCTTTAATCATGAGAGCTATGGTGTGTCAGCATGATGACACAGCCAAAAGCCGCCGCTTAATAGTAGCTAGATTGGAGTCATTCTTTTCATTTGTACATGCAGATTCCACAGGCTGCTAAAAAATTACTGAGATGTAAAGCAGGAGCACTTTACTCAGTAAAAACAAATGCGTGAAGTAGGAAATGGGCCAGACCAAAAATTTTAGAAAGGGCTTTTTTTAATAGCTAGAGAATCTGATTGTGCTGCAGAAAGAGATATGATCTTCAACCCACTTTGTGAGAGAGAGCTTTCTTCATGATCCACCAACGGCACTGAAATCTCCCCAACTCAATTAAGGGTCACCCCCAACCCAAATTGCATCCTAGAAAAGCATAAAAGAGGACAAGTTGAACCAATAAATAACATAAAATAAATGTGAAATACATTAAAGAAATATATAGCAGAAAAGTGGAGAACTGCGAAAAAGTTGTTCTGAAATCATGTAGACCAAGATTCTTTTATATAAAAAAAAATTCATTTCTTTTTGGTCATGCTTGCATAAGTGGTGAGTTAAAGAATGATTTGGGTCTTTGTACATGAGAATATGGATGCTTTGCACTTTACTTCACGTCTTCAATTTCTCACTGCACAGATAGCTACTAACCTACTCTGAGCAGCTGTAAAAAATTCAGTCATTCAAATCTCTACCTGAAGCCATCTTTGCCTTCTGCATGTTAATAACCCAAAATAAGAAAACAACAATGTTTTTTTAATTTATTTTTAGGATTTATATTTTTCTCTTCAAGTTTTTATTTGCTTCTTTCACAGTTTATCTCCCGGGGTCCTGAAGAGTGCTCTCGTAGACTCTGATTATTTTTCCTTATTTCAAACTTCCATTTCTTAAAAAAAAACAAAACAAAACTCTCTCTCTCTCTCTCTCCAATTTTTGTTGTCTCTTCTCACTTTAGTATGATCTGACTTGATAAATTCTTAGGTTCGACATTGGAGATGCCATGCTTTAGTATGATCTCACTTGGTAAATTCTTATGTATGGTGATACTATATGTTGCTCAATCTCGTGTTTATATAATGATGAAAAGCTCACAGCACCAACCTCACTTTACTCTAGTGCATGAAAGAAATAATTCTTCTTTTTTCTTTCTTAGCTAGCTAGTCATGAGATAAAGGTCTAAAACAACTTGAAAGGGAAACAATTCTTCCTTTGATCATTAACAAGAATAAGTTCTTTGCTTATATGATATAAAAACAAAAGCTTAACTGGCCCCAGTATAACCCCTTCATCTGTGCCACAGTGTATCCCTTTAAACGCTAGTTAGATATAGACCAAGATTAAGGGATAGCAACTCAAGTAGTTAAGAGCAATTATTTTTGGCACCCGAGGTTCTGCGTTCGAATCCCCCCTCAATATCGCTCGTATACAAAGTATATAGAAAAATTAGGCTGATATGTATTAATATGCCAACAACTTGATGTTCATTGGTGAACATGCAGGCCTAATTATATATAATTGTACTCAATATCGCTCGTATAAAAAGTATATATAAAAATTAGGCTGATATGTATTAATATGCCAACAACTTGATGTTCATTGGTGAACATGCAGGCCTAATTATATATAATTGTAGGCTCAGTTACTCATGATGTACCAAAAATATATTTAAGGTAGAAAAGTGTCAATTAATTAGTTGAAGTTGAGACAAACCATACCTTGCTAACAGCCTAACTCCATACATACCTGTATTATGGCTTTATAGGTTTGTTAGGTCATCGACCTGCCAACCATGGATGATCAGATCGATCAACAACAGCTCAAGTAAGACCAATGCGACCTTTCTTGACCTAACCGTAATTTTCTTCTATTTTTTTAATTGAATTCAACCTTTTAATATATCATAATTAGCATTAAGGAGAAATCTGGGCCTCAGTGCTTCATGTTTTAGCTAGTGATAGACATGGGTGTCCCATCATTGAAATTACTTTCTTTTTTTTTGTCGAACCATCATTGAAATTACTGGAAATAAGGAATATAATACCATCATGTTCATGGCATCATGTAAATTTGATCTCAAAAGCTTACTGCTATGGATTTTTTTATTTCTTTGATAAGATGATGGTTCCTATTATATATTAACAAAGGTATATTGTGTCCTTTCCCCAATCTAAAAGCAATCATTGTGTACCTTGCCCTTGTGTGTGTTCTCAGTTCTCTTTCAACCCAAAAAGAAAGAATACAAACTTAAAAAATTTTAAAAAAAACTCATGTTCCTTCTATCCAGCACTGTAAGTAGATCATAGTTACCTCTAAAACCTTGAGTTACTGAGTCATGGAAACTCAGATCTTTTCTTTTCGGTTACATTAAAACGAATCAAACCTTGAGTTACACGTTTCAATTTTTATCAGTAGTTTAAAACATTGACTATCGGTAAGATAACATGTTAAATTGTCGGACGAAATAGAATTACTATACACATATTTAATACTTTAAATATATAAAGCGAAATAAAATCTCTCAGCACTTTTTTGGTATGAAAATGATCTATACTCTCATCGTACCTGAACCAATCCCACCCAAGCTCTCTCCATAAATACACTCAACAAGCCTTTTCTACTTTCCCACACATATCTTCACCTAACAGGAAAACTAATCTCCCACTTTCAGAAGCTAGCTCAGCTAGGGTGAGAGATGAGTAGTCTTCCTCAAACTCCAGCCAGTTCTACCAATTCTCACCTTTATCCTCAAGCTCTCCAACTTAAACTTTACCAGGCCTTCATTTTCTCAATTCCTATCCTTTTCTCCATCATTCTCTTTCTCTTGTTCTACTTGTTCTACCTCAAAAGGAGAGCCTCCACTCTCTCATCTTCTCCACCAATTCTTCCCAGAAGTTATCAGGACCAATCTGCAGCTACCACCTATCATGTTTCTTCTGTAAGTCCTCTGTTTTTCTGCTACATATATTTACATGCATGCATGTTGTTCATGTTGTTCTTCAATATATACTGAGTTCCAATAGCATTGCAAATTGCAATTACAGATCATTTCAACTTAATTAATTATAGAGTTAAGATGATTATTTCACAATCCAACTTAACATGATCTAATTATTTTTCTTTTCTTTTTGCTTTATGTTGTCTAGGATTGTCCTGTGGGTTTGAAGGGGGAGCTGAAAGAGAAGCTTCAGACAATTCTATTTGATGAAGAACAGAGGAAAAAGGATGCACAGTAAGTTTAAATTACTTCTTCTACCATTGATTTGATTTTCCTCCATATTGAGTTTTTGACACCCCAAAATGAAATTGAATTGGTCTTTTTATTAGAGACACCTACCAATGCGGTCTATAACCAATCATGCCCTACAACAAGTGGCATGTGCCAAGATGGTGTCATTTCACATCTTGAAGTTGAAAAGCCAATGCACTTAGCAACCAACTTCTCAGATATATGACCACTTAAAAGAAAACCCAATAGCGCAATGACACGCGGTATAACTTTTTCACATATAATTGCATTATTGGCCGGGGATAGAAAAACAGTGTTATTCCCGTTACAAGAAAGTTTTTCTGCTTACTTAGACAAAGACGTATCCTAGTGATCAACCAATTTTATTCTTGCAACCAGTTATTGCCTAAAAAGGCTAGCATGGTAGAAGTAAGAACCTTTAATTCTCTTCCCATGTCAGTTTAGAACCTCTCATGGCAACCACTATTTTCTCAAAAGTGCTTTTGAGAGAGAGAGAGAGAGAGAGAGAGAGAGAGAGAGAGATAAGTAGTAGAATATATGACAAGACATCTTTGGAGGAGACAAAACGTGAAAAAAGTTTGAATACAATTGTGTGTGCAATCGCTTTCTAAGATTCTTCACTCAAAGTGGATAAACAACACTGAAATCTCAGCACCCATGAACAGCCTCTCATTAACTACTTCTCTATCTTTCTGGCCACTTTTTAATTTGGTGCTTTTTCTAAGTGTTTTCTCTGTCTTCTGAAATTGATCAAATTATCAAATTTCAAGTTAGGCTAAAATTGGGTTGGTTATAAGCCAAAATTTGGTTTTGTGACAGATGCTGTGTTTGCTTGGGAGATTTCGAAATGGAAGAGGAGTTGCTGCAGGTTATATCGTGCAGACACGTGTTTCATGTTGATTGCATACATCACTGGCTACACAACAACACAACTTGTCCACTTTGTAGATGCTCTGTGATCCCCATCAGTACCAAGCTTGATAGTCCTGCACTACAGGCACTACCTAGTGTGTCCAGTCCAGGACAGCACAACCCTAGCATAATAGTCTCCAACCATAGTCCTGGGATGATATTATTGGACCAACAACATCAACAACAGCATCAATTGGTCAGTAATGTTACTTCAAATGTAACAACACCAGTTGAGGGTTCGTCAAGTGAGGGTGGGGGTGCAATTTTGAGGGACTCTGGCATGTCATCTGGGCATTATACTAATGAAGATTTGAGAGAGCCAGTTGTTGTGTGTATCCAAACGCATGATTTGTCATGAGACAAATCATGTTTCCATCTCTTTCTTCACAAATAACAAGGCATGAATGAGAGAACACTCGATAGTGTTGAATGAGAGAACACTCACGTGCCGATTGACATATTCTTTTAGCAACATTTCCGAGTGAGCATTCCAGTTTTGGCGGAGCAACTAGCTAGATGAAAGACTATAGTTATATTTCGAATTAGGGAATGGGAGAGAAGGTCAGCTTGTTTTTTTCTTAAACCTCAATGAAGGTGGCAGCAAATTTGTAATTGTCATAAACCTCAATCGAGAGAGTTTAGTGTAATTTGAAGTACCTTTTTTGAACTGGAAGTTCACAACATGTATTATAAATGTGATAATGGGTTCTTTTTCTTGAATGGGAAAATCACACTATTTTCTGCTCACAATTTACAATAATTCACACCCAAAAAAAAGAGGTCTAAAAATGATCGTCGACAGCAGGGTTCGAACCTGCGCGGGCGAAGCCCAACAGATTTCAAGTCTGTCTCCTTAACCACTCGGACATATCGACCACTTGTGATACACTATTAAATTCAACCTATAAATCTATAGCGCAGTGAAACGTGCAATGTTCGCTATAAAATTGTTGATTACTAAAATACACTTTTGGCAGCTGAGTTCCTTAGAGTAACATGAGCTGCCAGATAAAGAAGAAATGCTAGAAATGTTGCAACAACGCTAGTTTTTCTAGGAATTTTTCCTCCATCACTCCTAAAAATTATGGCTTCATAAATTGGTATGCAGTTCACTACGCCAAAACCAGCAATAAACATCTGCACAAACAATCCCTCCAGATTATTATTGGTGCCTCTGAAAACCTCTACATGGCCCCAAGCAAAGGCAGCTAAGTTGACAATGGCAGCCATTGTTAAGGGCACAAACAAGGGCGATGAGACACCAAACTCCATGGTCCCTTGTTCATATCTTTTTCTTTGGTCTTCGTCAAGGACTTTGCTTGTCAGATTAAACCCATGTGTGGAAATGCCTGAGTACTTGAGCAAGAACTCAATCAACCCAAACAGGTAGCTAGAGAGTCCCCTAATGATCCACATCCTTTGGTCATTCCACCACCTATAGAATGTTCCTCCGGCTAACACAAAGTCTAGCAAGTCTTGAATGTATGCTCCGAGGAAAAGATACACGTACAAGAGAAACCATGGCTCCGAAACCTGCAATGTAAACACATAAAACTTATCAAATCGAACTAAAGACATACATGTACCACATTTATTAATAGCATTATCCATATATACATGAATTTCACGTTGATGTGGTACAAATAATTTTATTAATGCTTGTATGTTATTACCTTCGGGAAGATAGTGAGTCCATTGAGGAGAGTTAGCTGGGGAAGGAAGGCATACGAGATGATTGGAATTGACCAAATGGGCCAAAATCCAGAGTGAGCATAAGCAAGGCCCATCAAAGGGCCCATGGCCCGAGTGCCAAATGTGATTGGACTGAATTTGGAGAAAGCCACCTCAAGGAGGCCTATGGCCCATCGCTTGTTTTGGTTCAGCACTTCAACAAGGTTGATTGGGATATCTCCATAAAATGCTGCCCTATCAGGATGACAAAATATTGACTTCCATCCCTCACACTGCAAACGATAGCCAGTGAAGTAATCCTCCACCAGTGAGCCATACCTTACACCTATCTGCACAATTAAAACAACATAACTGATCAATATACCACTGTTGTTGCTTCGGATGAAATTGCTCGATGTTCTTTTGATGTTGATCATGAGTATGAGGCAACGTGTTCGACAAAATGCCTCAAAAATGCTGAGGTTAGGATAGAGAACCAAATGCAATCAGGGAAAGTGATGTTTGGGCTTCATCTTATTCGTCTTAATTATGTGCTACTAAATAATGCAACGAATACACATTGACAGTCAAATCATGTTGAATGTTAATGTGATTAGAAAATGCGATCCCTCTAGCATTATTCTATAATAAGCAAAAGTTTAGTTGACTTACCTTCAAGCCCCAATTGGTGTTGTTCTCATAATTGCAAGCAGCAACGCAATATGCCAATTCCATAACTTCCGAAGACCAAATGTGCTTGTCCACTAAATTGTTAGGACTTAGCTGAGGGATTTCAGGAGGCAAAAAATTTGAGGGGCATCCAAAAAATGCTCTTCTAGTGAAAAAGCAGCCTGTTCCCAAATGATTTGATCCAGAGAGCCCATTCATTCCCATTGGATCAATTTGAAACAGACGCTTGTGTTCGCATGCATATATGTCGTTTTTGTTAATGCCACGAAAAAGCTGAGGAAATTGGACGTAGCCTAGCTTGGGTCGAACTTCAGGATCTAATATGTAGCATAGGGCACGACGTGCAGTTTGAGGGTCATTAGAGTGCATGTCACAATCTAGGGTCAAAATTATTGGAGCATTGGTCATGATGGCTGAAACTCGAAGCTTTGATTTATATATATATAATAATAATAAAAAAGTAAATCAGTAAAATGTGTAACATAAATTATGTTCGAAATTTCAAAATTAGTTATTTATGTAAAGAAGCTTACCAGGACATTAAGCGCACCAGCTTTGAAATGGTGGGTTGATGTCTTGCTTTTTTCTCTCGAGACATATATTAGGTTTGGCATTAAATTGCCTGTGATGTCTTTGTCTTTGTTACTCTCCAATAAAACCTGCTCACGGTTATTGACAAAATGATTTTAATGGAATGGAATTTTATTTTATTTTTTTACTTTTATACTACTGGACTAGAACCCATTGGCGAAGCCAAAAGAAATTTTTTAGTGTTGACAAAGTCAGATATGTTTGGCAATATCAATTACATTTACCTGAATGACAGTGGGGTGATCTTGGCGGGTAAATTCCTCCGTCCATTTGCTAAAAGCCTGGATTTCTTCTTCTCTGGTTATATATTCTTGGGCAACTTTACCTCTCTCAATTACATTTTTAACCCTCACTTCCATTCTTTTGTACATCACCTGTGAATATAATTACATAATCTTTTAGTCATCTATCTTACCTACCCATGTAAATTTTTAAAAAGAAAAAAGAAAATAGTATGTAACATTATTTTACCTTAATATTCTCAACTTGATCAGAAAGGTGAGAATCACGATCTATAGCAAAATAAGCTTCCGGGCTGCAATCAACTATGTTGTTGTTCCTGCAGAAAGGTAACCAATGTCTTGCAAACTTGGCAGCCTCCATGAGAGCAAAGAGAGTCAGAGACGAGCCCCCGTCATCCGAAACGTACACTGAAACTTTCTGTATCGGATAATCATAAGCCATGACAGATAAGGCCGTGTTCACAACGTTCATTGGGGGCTCTTTGTAGGGATCGGCAGTGCTTATGAACACGTCCAGTGCTGGAAATTCCGATTCTTCAACGACCCTTATGAGGTTTTCGGGGAATTCCTTGCGATAAATCGGACGCATGTGGAAAGACTGTGTGGTGGCGAACATGAAAGCAAGAATGGAGTCCGAGATGAGGAAGGTGAGGGTTATGAAGAAGGAGGTGAGGGTTGTGGAGTTGAGGAGAGAGAGTGCATGGTGAGAAAGTAGGGCTAAGGTGGCACACCCGTAAAGCACCGCGAAGATGCGGTTTGCGGTGGTTCGGCGAGAGGGCTTGTGAGTGTGAAGTGGGAGACCATGGGTGTTGGAGGACATGGTGTAACATTTGAAATTCTAACGAATCATTTGGATTAAAAGTTAAGTTATAGAATGAATGTCGCAGTAACTATGAATCATGTGGAAAACGACCTCCAATATAAGTAATGGAAAAGGGACAAGATGTACCAACTACCAGTCGTACCCATAGAAACTGGTGGATCAATAATTGTTAAGATGAGTGCCGTTAGGTCAAGATCCACACTCAAAATTCATCGTTAAAAAAATTCTTTTATATATATATATATGTCAAAACCAGAGAGTAGTTTATACTTAATTTGCGAGATCCTTTTTTTCACTGAAAAAAAATTACACCCAAGAAAGAATATTTGGGTTGATGATTGATGAAGGATATACAAATACTAGTCAATGCTGACAATATAAAATAGAAAGGAGAAAGAAAATGGACGCTAGCATTCGTATGACTGACCTGATTATTTTACTTTTTTATTTTGTCTGAGTATATGACTGATCTCTTTGACTGTGAATAAATTCTGCATAAGATAAGATATATATATATAAAAGTATTATCCTCTATTCAAAAGAATATAGAAAACAAAAAAACAAAAAAAGATAACTTGTCTACGCAAACAACTTCGCCATATAGCATTTCACTATAACCCCTTTGGACTTTAATAATGTTTTAATGTTGTAAAATTAACGTTATATGCGGAATATTGAGCTGGAAGTAAAGTAAATGAGATATAAAATTTAATGAGGTTTAGCCATGCTTACGTCCTCGAAGAACAGCAACAATAACTTTTCCACTGTGTAAAATAATAGGGCTACAACTTTAGTGTTTACAATCTTTATGGCTCATTGATTTTTCTCTATGCTCTCTTTTCTCTCATCTCACTCTCTTTTCTTCCTTCCTTCCTTTCTCTCTGCTTGGGCTCTCATTTCCTTCTCTATTAGTTGTTGTGCTCTCTTTTTTTTTTTTTTCTGGAGAGGTGCATTATATACTGACGGAGGTGTCTATTTATAAGCTAAAATATTGGTTGTTCACTCACAAGCCTTTGGCTTCACGTGAATGTTGGTAGATAAGAAGCTTCATCATCTTTCTTCAATCAATTTGTTAGTGGGCTTTATTATTTTGGGCTCCATTCTTAACTTTACAACACTCCCCTTTGAAGACCACAAATAATATGTCGGTTACCTCATTAAAATCTTGCTTGGAAAAAACTCTGTGAGGTAGAAAATTAGTGGAAGAGGAAGAAGAGTACATCAATCAATGTAGCATACTTCTGGATGCTCCCTCTGATATCTTCATGACTATCTTTTTAGAGGAAAATCTTTCGGAGTGAGTGGCCATCATATATTCCTTAGTTGGGTAAGTAAATATATTTCCAGTGAGCGATCTCTATGTAAACCATAAAAAAATTCAGAGTCCGCGTATCCAACAAAACCTAAGCTATTTATAAGTTCGCTTGAAAAGAACATGCCTGTATGTGGTGTGATGCGGAGATAGCATCAAATATGTATCACATCATTCCAAAATGATGGTGATGTAGCTGAGCTTTACGTGGAAAATACAATGTCCGTTCTAGTATATTTCCGGAAAATTATTTAAGTGCCCAACAGATAATCCACATAAATATACTTCAATACTTTCTTAGCATAAGCAAGAATCTCATTGACATAATGTTCGATCTTGAGGCTAAGACAAATATTTCTTGAACTCTTCAAGAGTTTTAAACAAGTATAAC